TTTAACTTGTTTCCATCAGATGTTCACTGCTATTTTCAGTGACTGACACAATTCATAACAATGTTGAAGAATGTGATGATGAGTACTATTTTCTCTTTCAAATTAAGTGGAAATGATGCTAGCTTCAAATTAAACATGATGTCAAGTACAGAGGATTGTTAAGTGCCGTGGAGTCAGTTCTGAATCATAGTGACCTTGCATAGGGTTTCGAAGGAGCAGGTGCTGGGTTTGAACAATTGACCTCATGGTTAGTAGTTCAGTGCTTATCCAATGGCTCCACACCAGGACTCCAGTAGGTAGGTAGTTAGTAAGTAAGTAGAAAGATAGATGGATTAAGAGAAGGAAGTTATCTATTATAATCAACAAATCAAACTCTGCCACCATGTGGATTCTGACCCACAGTGACTCTGTAGGACAGACAGATCATAACTGTTCCCTAAATTTCCAAGGGTTTAATTTGAATGGACCACCACACATCTGTCAGTGTGTGGTAATTTGCATTTTGCTGTGATAATGGAAGCTTTTCCACCAGTATTTTAAATACCAGCAGGCTCACCCTGGTGGACAAGTTCCAGTGGAGCTCCAGACTATAAAGATTAGGAAGGAGAAGCAAATTATTTTTAGCCACTGAAAACCTTATAAACAGTAGTGGAACACTGGCAGATACAGATCAGATGTCGTGCCAGAATATGAGCCTCAGTTTGGAAGGCATTCAAAGTACAATTAGGGAAGAGCTGCCTCCTCAAAGTAGAGTTGACCACGATGATGTGGATGGAGTAGTGCTTTCAGATCATCATTTGCTGTTGGGGACTACATGAAATGAGGAGAAATGGCTACAAATATCCATTAATAACTGGGACATGGGTTGTACAAATTATGAACCTAGGAAAATGGGAATTTGTCAAAAATAAAATGGAAAGCATAAGATCAATATCCTAGGCATTGTTTTTAAGTGCCACGAAGTTGGTTCCAACTCATAGCCACCTGGTATAGGGTTTCCAAGAAGTGTCTGGTGAGTTCCAACCAAACTTGTGTTCCAGTGCTTATGATACAGAACCACACCAGGCCTCCATCCTAGACACTAGTGAGCTAAAATGAACTGGTGATTTTGAAACAGACAATAATATGGTTCACAATGCCAAGAACAACAAATTCAAGATGAATGGTGTCACTTTAATCATCAAAAAGAACATTTCAGGGCAATACACAAGAAGAGGGAGGGGAATGGAAGAACAAGGCGGATGGGAGAACAATTAGGCATGTTCACATGGGCTAAGTAGGACAGAGGTAAAGGAAGATGTATGCACAACCTTGTAACAACAGGGCTCTGAGACAGTGATTGACGCATGGTTTGAAGGAGTAAAAGAGGGGACTAATGATAAGATGCTTGGCTGCCTTTTGAATCTTGGTTTCCCTTGCCCTACCATTGTGAAATAGACACTTGGTGGGGGGCAGAAATAGCCAGAAACTCACAATAGAAAGTCCATCTTCAGCCTATAACTGATTGGAATACCTTAAAGGAGGCTAAAAGTTGCCCAGTGAAAGAGGCTTCCTGTGGAGCCTTTGTAGTGCATAAGACCATAGGTGGAATCCAGAACCTCATCCAGAATTATCTGAGGTAGGAAATTTACACTGGAAAGGACGAGTAGACCAGCCTGGAGTGGTTAGAAGAACAGAAGATACTTTGTGAAAGAAAGACCGGCAGGAAAAATCAGAAACAATAATGGCAGTCTGATAGATTAATACAAGAACAAGTAAGTTGTTCGCCTGGGTGCCATCAAGGCAAGGGGTCAGGTCCCCTCAGAGCAAACTCCCTTCCAAGACTAAAACTCAAGGGGAATGCATGAGCAGGCATGTGGTCTGCTGTCACCGATAAGAGAAAGAGGGGGGAAAACAGCAATGAAGTTGGGAGCTAAGTCAGACCACATTCAATAGATCCCCATGAACCCAGGTAGAGACCTGGATGGCCAGCAGTACGGCAAGACCCAAAGCTTCCCGGGCCCAGAAGCATGACATGGCCACAGAGGACTAGAACGGAGAGTGAAGGATCCAGCTGATATGAAATGAAGGGGGATACACAAGAACACCCACACTTGCAGATAGTACCTGCTTGACCTGGCTTTGATGCGAGGATGCTCAGAACTCAACTAGAAGAAGAAAGAAGAGG